TCGCTGTACTCGCGCAGAGTTCGAAACTCATGATCGCCTCCTCACTCTCTGATCTGACCAATAGGGCGCTCCTGCCCCTCATTCACTCCCTCACCTATATCCTCTACGTGCTCCAGGTAGGTAGTCGCTGTACTCGCGCAGAGAGCAGCGCACCCCCCTCGCGCCATCCACTCATTAGCCCCTCCCCTCACTCACTCCCTCCACTCCCTCACCTGTATCCTCCACGTGCTCCAGATAGTCGTTGTACTCGCGCAGAGACCAACACACCCCCCATTCACTCATTAGCCCCTCCCCTCACTCACTCCCTCCACTCCCGTACCTATGTCCTCCACGTGCTCCAGGTAGTCGTTGTACTCGCGCAGAGATGGAAAGTCGTCCTGCAGCTTGTTGTACCTGGTGTGGGTTGTGGCGAGGCGAGGTGTGGCGAGGCGAGGTGTGGCGAGGAGGGGAGGTGAGGAGGGGAGGTGAGGATGGGAGGTGAGGAAGGGGAACAAGGAGGGTAATAGACTCACAACACCATCACCACCATCACCATCACCATCACCATCATCACTCACACTGCCATCATCACCAGCAGCATTCCTCACACGGCGTGGATTCGTTTCCGCACCGCCATCTCCTTGGCTCTCCCGCTGCGCTCATGCCTGCCGGCTGCTACCGACGGCGGGAGCAGGAGAGCCCTCCCGCTGCGCTCATGCGTTCAACACACTCCCACATCCCGCTTCGTTTCCGCACCGCCATCTCCTTGGCTCTCCCGCTGCGCTCATGCGTTCAACACACTCCCACATCCCGCTTCGTTTCCGCACCGCCATCTCCTTGGCTCTCCCGCTGCGCTCATGCCTGCCGGCTGCTACCGACGGCGGGAGCAGGAGAGCCCTCCCGCTGCGCTCATACCTTCACCTACCCCGTGCCTTCAACACACTCCTACATCCCCGCCTTACCTGTCACCATCATCACTCACACGGCGTGGATTCGTTTCCGCACCGCCATCTCCTTGGCCAGCGGCCCTCCCGCTGCGCTCATGCCTGCCGGCTGCTGCTGACGGCCGTTCGTGCTGAAGGTCCGCTAGTGCTGTCTCGCTGCTCTCTCACTGCCGCCGGCGGGTGTTGCTGCTAGGAGAGCTGATGATACGACCTGTAGATGCGATGAGTTGATGCGTTACGCCGCGGTACGACGTGGTACGGCTATCGTGAAGCACGAAAGCTGGCTGTTTCAAGGAGTCATGGTTGAGTGGGAGAGTCCGTGTCCCGGACCAACTTCTGGGCCAAGCTATGGAGCTCTATCGCATCGTGGTTCATGGGCTCATGTGATAGTCGCGGCTGCTCCACGATGCGTGCGGCTGGACTCTCCTCTACCACGAGAACTCTCAGAAACTCTTCAAAATTCGCTTCTTCGTCCAATAATTCTTTTTGCTACCTCGTTTCTCTCCTTCGTCTTAATATCTCGTCACCTACCTATTCTCTCGACGTGCATTGCACGTTTACGCCCAGGCGGGCCTCTTGAATCCACGGATGAGGAGGAGCCTACTACCTATTTCGCGTCTGATCTCTCCCTAGTTTCACTGTGCTTCCGTTCTGGCTGAATTTTGTGTTGTGAGGAGGATGACCAAGTTGTACGCGTTTCCAGATTACTCGCTTCACAGCGTTTTTCCAATGCATCGACGGATTCTTGCACGTTTGCTTTTCAGAAGTAGCTGACTGAAAGTAGCGCTCTGGAAAAAAAATCCTTTCCAGTTTCTAGAAAAAAAACTAGAAAGCGGCCAATCTCACTTCGGTGAAGTAGAAAGGGAAAACATTGTTATAAGGAATTATGTCTCCACTCCACAGCCGACTGGCCAGTCATGTCTCATCCACACCGAGCTACTACCAGCCAAGCCAAGCAAGGTATGGTATGGTACCACCCTAACAGTCTAACCCTACCCCATATCCAAGATTCCACGATTCCATTCGGTAGACATTACCAATGGCGCCTTTACCAGCCATCGCCCCCAGGCCATCAACTCCAAATTCCCCTTCCTCTCTCAACGCCTCAAACCCAGCTTCCAGCCCCTTCCCTTCACAGACATTCCCAGACTCCCTCCTCCCACCACTCCCTCCGTTCCATTTTCTCTCCCATGAACCAGCAGCACCACTCTACCGCCATCCACCAACCATACCAATCAAATAACACCTCCTTTTCCACCCTCATCCCTCTCCGCCCAAGGCGCAGCTCTGGAACCAAAGCTCTAGCGACAGTGCATGCAATGTACCGTGTAAGCCTCCACTTGACTTCTCCAACCTTGTCCTGTCATCATGGCACCACTATCAGCGCGCCACCTTCCTCCTCTTTTCCCCTTTTCACCAACTCATCCCCTCTTCCCCTCCCCCCCTCTTCCCCTGCTCCCCTCCGCTCCACCTCCGCTCTTACCCCGAATCCCTGCACCCTTGCTTCGCATTGGCATGGCACTTTTCCCCCATTAGCCACTAAGCGCACCACCCTTGCCCCTCCCCGCTTTTTCCCC